GAGGAGCTGGCTCCCAGTCCTGGCCATGCTCTAAACAGAGAGCAGACATCAAGTGGAGATCAGCCCATCCCAGAGAGACATACGGCGCGGCGGCAGGAGAGCCCAGGCTAGGCTGAGGAGTGGGATTGTGGCCACGAGGCGATCCAAGTGACGTGGCTGGCTGGCACACACTCGAAATACGAGTGCCCTTCCCACAACAGTGAAACTGCATCACCCTCATGAAAAGCCCGCCCGCCAGTACCAGCCCTTAGCCCTCACACAGCACCTCCCAGCGTCAGGGGACGAGAAACCCGAGTTTGAGAGGTTAAAACTGAAAGCCACTTTCTCCAGGCCTGAGACAGCAGCTGTGAGCACTGGGACTGGAATGCAGCAGTCACAGGGCCAGGCCCCCCTCTCACTTCATTTCCCTGATCATTTTCAGTTTATAAACAATAAGAATAATGACCCTTGGCTGCACCGTGTCCATCAGCTCCCCCCAATCGGTTACCAGCAGGAAGTGCCTTGGCTCCTGCATTGCTATTGAAGTAACTTCACCGGGAGAGATGCATTGGCACAGAGCCCAGACTCATCACACATCTAATCCTGCAAGCCCTCAGCCGGGGAATTCTGCAGCTCTTTACACATCCCTCACCGTTCACATTAGCCAACACATGCATCTTCTCCCATTGCTGGGCCGGCTCCTGGCTGATGGCCTCCTAAGCACAGTGATTTTCAAGCTTCATCTGTTGTAGAAAAGATTTTAGACTTTCAGCTTTGCAAAACTGCAGTGCGGTGGCAACACACGTCCGAGGATGGGCAGCAGAGATGCAGCCGATGGAAAGGGCCACTGCGGCCAGGGAACTGCATGGCGCTAATTGTGTCATGTCATTTAACCCAAAACCACAGCACTGAATGCTTCAGGGGCAGGCGGGAAGAAAGGGAGAGCACCATGAACAGAGCCCTGCAAATCTGTGGGTAGCTGGGTAGATCTACCAGGTAGGTGTGGGAGGGACCGTGGGGAGAATCTGGAGGGGAAGCAGCTGGCATGGCCTATGGGAACACAGGGTGTCTTAGTCCCAGGGCAGCCTGGCAGACGGCAGGGATGTGCTTGGCGCAAGGGGCATGGGAGGAGAGTTCGAGTTAATACCTTCTCGCTGGGTAAATTCGTAGAGAGCTGGAAAGAGTTTCAGCGCCTGGGAGCAGACCGGGGGAAACAGGACCAGCTGTGATTACACTGTGCTGCAAGCACGCTGCACAGCCCTGCACGCCAATGCGACATTTCAGAGCTGCTCCTCCCGCTGGGCCAGCTGTGTGTCAAACAGAGAGAACACCAGGGTCCAGCCAAGGGCTGTCCCAAAGGGAGCCGGCCCAGGGAGGGGCAGGGCTGGAGCGGGCACCGCAGGGCGCAGAGCAGCTTGCAGTCATCCCAGAAGCAGCAGGAGTGGGCTGCGGCGTGAAGTTCACGCTGCACAGCAGGTCCTCTGCATCACGTGCGCCCCTCGGAGGGGTGAATCCAGCCCCGGGGGTGCGTGGCGGTGACGGGGCTTCGCTGCACAGCAGGTCCTCTGCATCACGTGCGCCCCTCGGAGGGGTGAATCCAGCCCCGGGGGTGCGTGGCGGTGACGGGGCTTCGCTGCACAGCAGGTGTTTAATGGGCCAGGGCTGTGCACCGCAGCCTGTAGAGTGGGTGGGGCCAGGAACCCCCCTGTGACGTTTCTCTGCCACCCCCAGGCAGGGCCCTGTTCGAAGCAGTGCGCAGCCACGGGGCTGAAATGGATCCAGTCACCCTCGGGGAGCAGATGCCCCAGCACCAGGCCCAGCGACCGGGGCTAAGCACTGGCCACCCGGGCACCAGTGGAGCGTAAGTGGGTCCAGGGACTTGCAGAGCCCGTTGGCACCGAGGCGAGTTTCACCTGGGAGCTGAGGGGGCTCAGCACCCTCCCGGATCAGGCCCAAGAAAGAAGCTGCCCCCTTGACAGAGGCACCAGGGCACAGAATTAAAGCCTTGACCCTGCGCGTGTCCATGTCGGGGGTAAACACCACCAGGGGGCCAGGCTGTGCCCCCCAGAGAGCAGCACCGTGGGTTTAACGCGGTGAGGAGCTCCCAGCTCCCTGTGTGGGGGCAGCTTGACAAACAACTGACTTTAGGCTTCCCATCCTGCACAGAGCCCCGAAGTCCAGCCTTCACTTTGCCCAGGAACCAGCCTGGTTTGTCCGGGCCCTAGGCAAGTCCCCACACTCTGGGAGGTCTGGACTGGGAGCTGTACCGCACCCCTCAGCCCCTCTCTGGCACTGGGCAGTAACGGTTAGTCAGAGCCAGAATGAAGCCCAGCAATCCGGGCCTGGGAGAGGATCGGCCCCCACCCAGCCTTCTATTCTTATCTCTTGACTGACCTCAGAGCCTTGCACCAGGTTTCCTGTTGTGAAATCCAGGATGCCAGGCCATGGAAGGAGATCACGCTGCTCTGAGTTAATGTCTGACTGTGTTGCAGTGAGCTGAAGCCTCCAGTGTGCTCAATTTTGGAACTTGTCATTACGAATGAACTTAGATTCAGGTCTGGATTAGGGTTAGGCTAGTCTTAGGGCTTGAGGCCAAACTGGGACAAGGTATGGAAATCACTCCACATTGTTCCCATGAGACATCTGGCATTTTGGGCCAAAATCTTGCACAAATGTTTTTTGCAAGATTTCCGATGCATCCACTTCTGGAGGAGACAGCTCCTGCCAGTTTTGGATCCAACTCTTTTCATCAAACCCCACTGCTCTGAAATTTGGAGCCCCCTCTGTAATATATATGGCAGGAAGGAACAGTAGCCCCTGCTAGTCTGCAGGACAATTTCCTCTCACACATACATGCAGCCTACCTTCATTTCTTTCCTGATTGTAAGTAGATTTGCAGTATAATATTGACATGACAGGTACCAGAATTGGTCTGACACCAAGTGCTCATAAAAACGTGCATAAGCAGGAATCCACATGTATGGTAGCTGCCTGTGAAGTCTCAGTGTGCGTTAATCTGGAAACTACTGGGAAATAGTTTCACACTCTTCCCTCTTCTCTTTGAACACGCTGTAATAAAACACTCGGCTGCTTCTATTCATGGTGCTTCCAGGCAGCTCCACACTTGCTGTAACAAAACAAACCCAACCCTCCCACTCTGACGGGGTTTATCACATTGTACTACAAGGCATATTAAACACAGATGAGCCTGTTTTCATCAGCAAGACAACTGCTATTCAGCACATGTTGAGGAAAGGGCAGGGAAGGCTATGTTGCCTCATTTTGGTACCTGCCCCAGATTAAGGTGTCATTAGAGAAGGTTTTGGAACAAACTGATAAATTAAACAGTAATAAGTCACCAGGACCAGATGACATTCACCCGTGTTCTGAAGGAACTCAGATAACAAATTGCAGAACAACTAACTGTGCTGTGTAACCTATCACTTAAATCAGCCTCTGTACCAGATGACTGGCAGATAGCTAATGTAACACTGATTTTTTTATAAAGGCTCCAGAGGCGATCCTGGCAATTACAGGCCAGTAAGTCTAACTTCAGTACCAGGCAAATGGTTAAAACTATAGTAAAGAACAGAATTGTCAGACACGTAGATGAACATAACATGTTTTGAAAGAGTCAACGCGGCTTTCGTAAAGGGAAATCATGCCTTACCAATCCATTACAATTCTTTGAGGGCATCAACGAATGTGGACAAGGGGGATCCAATGTATATAGTTTACTTGAACTTTCAGAAAGTCTATGACAAGGTCACTCACGAAAGGCTCTTAAGCAAAGTAAGCAGTCTTGGGATAAGAGGGAAGATCCTCTAGTGGATCAGTAACTGGTTAAAAGATAGGAACCAAAGGGTAGGAATAAACGGTCAGTTTTCACAATGCAGAGAGGTAAATAGCGGGGTCCCCCAAGGATCTGAACTGGGACCAGTGCCGATCAACATATTAATAAATGATCTCGAAAATGGAGTAAACAGTGAGGTGGCAAAATTTGCAGATAACTCTCATGAGTAATTTTGTGTCAAGTCCAAAGCTGACTGTGAAGAGCTACAAAAGGATCTCACTAAACTGGGTGACTGGGCAACAAAATGGCAGATGAAATTCAATGCTGCTAAATGCAAAGTAATGCACATTAGAAAACATAATCCCAACTATACATATAAAATGATGGGGTCTAAATTAGCTGTTAGCACTCAAGAAAGAGATCTTGGAGTCATTGTGGATAGTTCTCTGAAAACAACCACTCAATGTGCAGCAGTAGTCAAAAAAGCGAACAGAATGTTAGGAACCATTTGAAAAGAGAGAGATTAGACAGAAAATATCAATGCTACTATAGCCATCCATGGGACACCCACACCTTCAATACTATGTGCAGTTCTGGCTGCCCCATCTCCAAAAAGATATATTAGAATTGGAAAAGGTACAGAGAAGGGCAACAAAAGGGATCGGGGTATCTTCCATACAAGGAGATATTAAAAGGACTGGGGCTATTCATCTTAGAAAAGGGATGACTAAGGAGGGCAATGATGGAGGTCTATAAAATTGTGAATGGTGTGAAGAAAGAGTTATTTACCCCTTCTCATAACACAAGAACCAGAGGCCACTTAATGAAATTAATAGGCAGCAGGTTTAAAACAAACAAAAGGAAGTATTTCTTCACACAACACAGTCAACCTGTGGAATTCCTTGCCAGGGGATGTTGTGAAGGCCAAAAGTATAACTGGGTTCAAAAAACAACTAGATAAGTTCATGGAGGATAGGTCCATCAATGGCTATTAGCCAGGATGGGCAGGGATGCAACCCCATGTCTGGGTGTCCCTAAGCCTCTGATTGCCAGAAGCTAGGACTGAGTGACAATAAATTGCCTTGTTCTGTTCATTCCCTCTGGGGCACCTGGCACTGGCCACTGTCGGAAGACAGGACACTGGGCTGGATGGATCTATTGTGTTCTTCGACACTGCAGTGGGGTGCAAATGCAGATCACTAGAAAATAAAACCGACTAGAAACAAAGGAAAGTGACTCGTTTATTTTCCATTGTCCAAGCAGATTAATGTCCAAAAAGTGAACACCCTGTAGAAGCGATGAACACCAATAATCCAAGGTGCCATTTGCAAGACGGATTTTCTAACAGTGCAGTTTAGTCCTTTCCAAACACACACAATTTGAAGGCCAGGCAGGGCCATTATGATAATCTAGTCTGACCTCCTGCCAGGGCTGGGGGAACAATTGTATAGTGGGGGTGCTGAGAGCCATTGAACCAAACTGTCTGTGATGGAAACCACACATTAGTTGCTATTATTTCTGCAAGCCATGAGGTGCTGCCGCATCCCCATCACCCAACTTCTAGCATGTCTGCATCACACAGGTCAAGAACCTCACCCAGCCATTCCTACTTCGAGCCCATAACTTCTGTTTGATCTGGAGCCTCTCTTTTAAAACCAACAAAACAATACATATAATTGAGGTACAGAAATATCCTTCAAACAGCTGAAACCAAAAGCTATTCAAAATGCACAAATTGAAAAATCCTTATGATTACATTAGTCTGTTTCTCTCCAGCAGTATTAGTAGGTAAGCATGATGGCCAAACGCTATACATAATCTCTACAACTAGTTTGTTTGCCACTGCTTATCGGCACTTCAAAAGTTAGAAAACTGGCTGAAGCTGGGGTTATTATTACAGGTAAATGCTATAAAATACACAGTAGATCAAGTACATTTTCAATATACAATGCTGTGCAGCTGAGAGACAAACACAGTCTTCTGTTTACAGTGCTCGCTATGCAAGATCTGTAATGTCCGAAATACGAGGCCTGTGCCCAGTAATGCAACTAATCCTCTGTTACATTAGTGCCGAGCTCCTAATCTGCATTCCTAACCCTGTGTAAAATTCTCACCAGTACAACCGATTGAGCAGGGCTATTGCTACAGTGCACAAGCTGCCTGACTTCATACACCACATAGAAAGTGGTCACAACAGTTAAAACTTGCACTGTTACAGCCAAAACATAGAGATACAAAAATATTTGACTATATGGAACGTTACATTTAAAAAATGGCCGCGCACTTAGACGGTCTTGTGATCCACTGACCGGTGCGGCAGTGGTTGAGACAATTTCTCTTACTCTGTTGATTTCTCTCATTATGCCAGTGGGAATTTGGCTTGGAATTTCTGTGGGGTGAAATTCAGCCGGCTCAACGTCTTCAGTGATGGAGTCAATAAAATATGGAGTTGCAGATGGAGGCAGCAAGGGGGTATTCGTATGTATCACGGGCACAGGAGCTGTGAGGGTCTTCCAAGTGAAAGGCAAGTGTTCAGTGACAAGAAAAGATGCTGTGTGGGAACGAGTGGAGCTCTCAGATGTGTGGTGTGGAAGGACTGTGGTAGAGGGGCAGTGAAAATGATCATCTGGTAGAGACAAGAGAGAAATATTCCTTAATGCTATGGGACTGTCACAAGTTAGAGACGTGACATTTTTTACTATGTCTAAATTCCTCTGGAGCCACCCTTTGAATTCAGCGATTTGACAATCACATTTCCAAGGATTGTTGTCAAGCACGACCTCTTGCAGCTTGGGTAACGAGGTAAAGAATTCTCCAGGAAGAGACTGCAGGCTGGTACAATTTAGGTAAATTGCCTGGAGATTACTGAGATTATAAAAGAGGTTTTTAGGCAGAACCTCAATCCTGTTATTGAAAAGGGAAATCTCCTGAAGTTTCTGCAGACCCTGGAAAATGCCCTCTGGGAGACTAGAGAGATTATTTGTATGCAAAGACAAACTCAGAAGTTCATTTAGACCACTGAACACGTTCCCTGGGAGAACACTTAACTCGGGATTGAAAGTCAGCACAAGTAGCTCTAAATTTGTCAAATTACCAAACACAAAATCTGGCACAGTTGAGAGTTTGGTGTCATATACCCACAGACTCCGGAGAGTTCTAATTTCTCCAAACAATATTTCTGGAAGGGATCCCAGTGGATTCCCATACAAGGTCAATTCAGTCAAATTGTGCAAATGCAGAAAGAGCCCATGAGGTAACCGCTGCAGTTTATTTCGAGAGAGCGTTAAACTATTTAGTTTAAGGAGATTGCGAAATGCATCCGGGGCAATGGACTGAATGTCATTTGAACGCAGACGAAGCTCCTGCAGCTCTCTCAGGTTATCAAACACACCAGAGTCTATTGAACTGAGCCTGTTCATATACAGAGAGAGCTTCTCAAGTTTGGTTAACGTGCTAAATATATTTCTAGGCAAGGCTGCCAAATAGTTTCTGGATAAGTTCAGTAGTTTAAGCTTGGCGAGGTTTCTTAGTACTCCATCAGGAAGCTCTGTCAGATGGTTTTTGTTCAAAAACAGCTCCTGCAAGTTGACTAGTTTGTCAAACAGCCTGGGCTCAATATCCGTCAGCAAATTCTTTTCAAGGATCAACTGCTGAAGGGCCACCACTTCATCGAACACTCCCGTGGGAAGCTGAGTCAACTTGTTGTCAAACAGTTTGAGGGTCTTTAGCTTTACTAAGCCTTTAAAAGCTCCTGGCAAAATGAGGGAAAGCTCGTTTGAAGACAGAATGAGACGCTGGAGCACTGTCATTCCCGAAAAGACTTTGTCCTTCAAGTCGGTTGCCTTAGTATTTGTTATCAGAATTTGTGTCATGTTGGTAGGCAGACCTAACGATGCTAGGTCTTTGATACTGGAACCAGAGCAACGGATGGCATCTTTCAGAATACACTCGCATTTCTCAGGGCAAACAGATGCATTCAGCTGAAGGAAAAGATGGATGATTACAGCTAAACGAAAAACCAACATCCTTGCTGAAGTGCCTGGAATATGAGCAGTTATAAATTAGTACCAGAGAATCCAGTTTCCATTTTACATATTTGTAACAATTTGGTACTAATCATAAAATTTACTGTGTGAATGACTGTAGCAAAAACCTAAAAATGTACTGGATTATGATGAAAATGCCCCAAACTCTATAGTTTTATTTGATTACGGGCATTTAGATGGTACTCACTAGGGTTACCACCTTTCTAATTGCTGGTAACCGGACCCCCCATGGCCCCGCCACTTCCAAGACCCGCCCCGTACTCCACCTCTTCCCCCTGGCCTCACCCCTTCTCTGCATCTTCCCCCAGACCGTGCCCTTTCTCAGCCTCTTCCCGCCAAGGCCCCACTGTTGTGCTGCCTCTTCCCCCAAGGCCCCACCCCTGTCACTTATTCTTCCCCACCCCCAATCACTCGCTGGATCATCTCCACCTCCCTCCCCTCCACCAGCTGGGCTCCCTCCACTCTGGGGCTGGGATGGGAGCTGCTGCAGCCTGACAAGGAGTCTGCCTGCAGGTAGGAGGTGGCCCCGGCTGGGCAGGGGCTGGCGCGGGTTAATGACTGGGCACCTCTCCCTGCCCCGCGGTAACTGGACCGTGGGGGCCCGGTCAGTACATTTGACCGGACACTGCCAGGTCCCCTTTTCGACCAGACTTTCCACTCAAAAATCAGGCACCTGGCAATTAGCACCGGGATACAGAAGCCAAAAACCAGACTGTCCGGGTAAAAGCCAGACAGATGGCAATCCTGGTGCTCATCTCTAAATTCAGAGTACTGAAGATTTATCATCTTTAATTTTTCATATTTGTATTAGCCACAATAAAAGCATATAATAGATCAATATTTTGTGATCACTTTTAATATTTTAAAACTCTTTGAAGTATGCTCTTCTTTGAAGATTAAAATATTTAATGTTTTATCATCATCATGCAAAACAAGCACTCTTACAGATATGGCCAAACAGCTCAGCGTAAGCCATCCTCGAGATCTATACGGTTATATGAAATTTCTCTCCCAGTTGTAGGTCACCTAACATTTGGAAATTAGCTTTGAAATTGTATGTATTAGCAGAAGCACAATGGGGTTTTAGGTCCTGTCAAACCTGGGTAAGAGTTTAACTGTTGAGAGAGATCAAAGAGGCAGCAAAATCTAACACGGTGATGATAATGGAGGACTTCAACACCCCACCAAATGGTACAACAGCACAAAGTAGAGAGAAGCAATTTTTCAACACTTCAAATGATTGCTTCTTGGAACACACAAGAAAGGATATTCTTGACTTAGCCATAAGTAATATATAGAAGCTAATTCAAGAAGTAACAGGAGCTGAGCCATTAAGTAATAGTGACCATAATATAATTAGACTCAACATCCAAGGGGGAGGTAAGGTACCAGTGGTACTAAACTTCAAAAAAGGAGATTTCAATACAATGAGATTCGTCAAAAAGGCCCTAATGCTACAAGTAAAGGAAGTAAAATCCTTAGAAGAGGCATGGAATATACTTAACCCCCCCTGCCAGATAATAATAGAATCTCAGAAGACACACACATCGCTGAACACAAAGAGAATTAGGAAGGCAACTAATGAATCGTTATGGTTAAATGGCAAGGTTTGAGAGTCTAATCAAGCCAGAAAGAAATCCTTCAAAATTTGGAAATCTGACTCTTGTGAAGCCAATAAATAGGAGCATAAGTACAGCAGGCATTAAGTAAAAGGGAAATTAGGAGGGCCAAAATGAATTTAGAAGAGCAAATAGCTAAAAGTGTAAAAACAAACAACAAAAGACTCAAGTACATAAGAAGCAGGAGGCCTGCGAAAGTTGGGGTGACTGGTTTAGCAAGGTTAAAAGGGGCCAATTAAGGAAGAGAAGGACATTTTGAAGAGGCTGAATGATTTCTTGGCATCATGTTTCACCCCAGCGGATGTTTGGGAGATTCCTGTCCTGGACCCGCTCTGAGCTGCTCTCAGAGGCGGAGATGACAGAAGAAGAGTTGCTGGTGCAAAATGATCATTTAAAAAGCGAAAGTCATCAGGCCTGAGGGTCCATCCAAGAATTCTGAAGCGGCTGAGCTGCTAACAGGAACATAAACTCGTTCATTAAAAACAGTCGCTATTCCAGGGGACTGACGGGAAGCAGATGTTGTATCTGCTTAAAAAGACTGTAAGATTCAGGGACGTATGGACCAGTAAAGCCTTACGTCTGCATCTGGCAAACTGCTTGAAATGATCCGTACATCCAGGTGTTTTGCTAGTCTCTGTTCCTGATCTGATAGGGTGTAACCAGCACACTTTCTGCAGAAGAAAACTCTCTCAGTTGGACCCTAGAATTCTTTGATTGTCTCAATAAAGAAGCAGATAAAGGAGAACCAGCTGGCAATTTATTCAGAACCCTCCTCCTCCCCCCAGGGCCTAAGATCCCACACAAACGCCTGCTAAGGAATCTCATCACTGGGTGAGAGGCGATGCATCCTCATGGATCAAAGGCAGAGTAGGATCGGATTGAGGCCAAAAACGTCGGAAGATTCAAAACAGGATCGGACATTTATACGGATAACAAGAATATCCAGAGTTGTTATAATGATGCTGAAAATTCCGTCAGGGGTATTAAACCTCATGCTTCAGGGCTTCAGCCATTCCCTACTGAGCGGCAATTACCCCACTTCCACCTACTGCAGGGTTCTTGCATCTTCTTCTGAAGCCTGCGGTGCTGGGTACCACCAGAGACAGGACAATGGGCTAGCTGGATCTTGGGTCTGATCTAGTGCAGCAATTCCTGTGTGCCTAACGATTTCTCAGTGTATTGTACAAGAATGCCAGAATTCAATCCATGAACAACATGTAAAACTGACACGTTTACTAGGGTTACCATATTTTGTGCCTCCAAAAGGAGGACACTCCACGGGGCCCTGGCCCCGCCCCCAGCCCCGCCCC